GTATACCAAGCTCCTTCCTTTCTCAAGGAAGTCAGTACTTAGTTCACCATCTTCTTCTCCTCCTCAACTCCTACCCTTATACTTGGGCACTTTAATATCCATATAGAGGCTCCCTCATACTCCCTACCCTCCCAATTCCTCAACCTTCTTAAGTCCCATGACTTTCACTCTACCTCAGCCACATATAGAGATGGTCACACACTAGATCTTGCAGGTGCCCACAGGTCTTTTTAAAAAAGTTTATCTGTAGGGGCAGCTAGGTGGCACAGTCGATAGAGCACCGGCCCTGGATTCAGGAGGACCTGAGTTCAAATCCAGCCTCAGACACATAACACTTACTAGCTATGTGACCCTGGGCAAGTTACTTAATCCCATTGCCCAGCCAAAAAAAAAAAGTTTATCTGTATTTATATTATTCGTAGTTTTAAATTAAAAAGTATTGTAAAAAATAATCTGTCTCTTCCACTACTCCCGTCCCACAACTAAGCAAATAAAAAACAAGCACACCCACGCAACAAATCTCTCACTACATAGCTGTGTAGCCTGGAAAACAAATTCCCACCTCAACAGTGTCCAAAAATGTTAACTCTCCTTTTTCATTTTAAATTTATCACCTCTTTGAAAAGAAGTGGGTGGTATGTTTCACCTTTATCCTTTTGCACTCATGGTTTATCATTACAATGATCAAAGCTCTAAAGTCTTTCCAGGTTGTTTTTCTCTATAAATTGTCTAGGTTGTATAAGTTATTCTACCACTACTATGTCTGTATCCCAAAAAGATCAAAGGAAAAGGGCTTATATGTCTAAAAATATGTATAGCAGCTCTTTTTTGTGTGGTGACAAAGAATTGGAAATTGAGGGGATGCCTATCAATTGGGGAATGGCTGAACAAGTTGTGGTGAACTATTGTGCTGTAAGAAATGATGAAGGGGCAGCTAGGTGGCGCAGTGGATAGAGCACCAGCCCTGGAGTCAGGAGGACCTGAGTTCAAATGTGGCCTCAGACCAAACGCTTGACACTTACTAGCTGTGTGACCCTGGGCAAGTCACTTAACCCCAATTGCCCTAGTTTAAAAAAAAAGAAAGAAATGATGAAGAGGATGGTTTAAAAAAACATGGGGAGAGACTTATGTGAACTGATGCAAAGTGAAGTGAATAGAACCAGGAGAACATCATGTATAGTAACAGCAATATTGTAATGATGATCAGTTGGGAAAGACTTGCCTACTCTGATAAATACAATGATCTAAGACCATTCCAAAGGACTCATGATGAAAAATGTTATCCACCTTCAGAGAGAGAACTGACAGACTCTAAGTGCATATTGAAGCATATTGTTTTTCACTTTTCCTTGCCTTTTTTTGGCAATATGGCTAATATAGAAATATATTTTGAATGACTTCACATGTATACTGGGTATCATATTGATTGCCTTCTCAAAGGGTGGGAGGGCCCCACTGGAGGGAAGGAGAGAATTTGGAACTCAATATTTTATTTTTTTATTTTATTTTTTGGTTGGGCAATGGGGGTTAAGTGACTTGCCCAGGGTCACACAGCTAGTAAGTGTTATGTGTCTGAGGCCAGATTTGAACTCAGGTCCTCCTGAATCCAGGGCCGGTGCTCTATCCACCGTGCCACCTAGCTGCCCTGAACTCAATATTTTAAATAAATGAATGTAAAAATATAATTAAAAAATAAGAGATTAAATAAATGTTCCCCTAGTTCTGCTCTGCATCAGTTTATAGGTGTCTCCCCAATTTCCTCTGAAATGATCCATTTCATCATTTCTTGTGGCACAAAAAGCTCATCACACTGATGTTCAGCCTTGGGGTGGGGGGGGGGAGGGAATAACACCATTCTCTCTGCTTCCAGCACTTGTACACTCATCTGATCTCTCTAAGATCCTGAGAGAGCATCATTGTGAGACCAAACTTCTATGGGCATTGAAAACCCATCTGAATTCATTTCTCAGTGATTAAGAAATTCCTCTCTGCTCATACCCTCCCCATTGCAGTGATTCTGATCCCTAGCTGTCATCATTCAAACTTGTTCTCCATCCCCCATTGCCCCATCCCTTCTGCCCATTCTCCTCAGCCCAACCCCTCAATGTCATACTCTAAGGCTACCTACCCCTTCCACTGCGATCTCTGAAAAGTTTGTCCTATAGGTGACAAACTTGCTTTCATCTTACATCTTTTCTTTTCCCACTCCTTCCATCTTCTGGCTTTCACTGAGACCTGGCTACCTCCTAATGATACAGCCTCCCTGGTCTCTCAAGAATTTTCACTCATTCCCTCTATTCCCTGGTCAAGGTGGAAGAGTTGGAATATTCTTTACTCCCCATTGCCACTTCCAAACTCGCCCTCTACCTTCATCACTTAGTAACCTCTCCTTTGAGGATCACTCAGTTCGTATCAACCACCCAATCAAAATTCTGGTAGCTGTTGTCTACAGACCTCTAGGACACTGCCCTTTTTTTCCTTAATGAATTCAGTGTCTGGCTCACAGTCTCTCTCTTCTTCCCAACTCCTGTCCTTCTATTAGGGGACTTTGACATATATATTGATACTCCCTCAAACACCCTAACTTCCCAGTTCTTCAACTTACTCATGTCCCATGATCGACTCCTCCCACCCCACCTCAGCTATACAGAGATGGTCATACCCTTGACCTAGCCATCACTCACAAGTGTTCCATTTCCATATTCATGAATTCTGAAATTCTCTTATCTGATCACAATTTATTGGCTTCCCATCTCTCCCTGTTCCTTGCAATCCTAAACCCTGTTCTTTGTCCATACCATGACTTCTTATCTCTCCACCCCTCAGTCCTCTCCCAGGCCATCACCCCTGCATTGGCTTCATCTCTTCCCTCCTCCATCTTGACCCCTTGGTGAACCAGTTCAACTCTATGCTGTCCTCTTGAATTCCTTGCCCCCTTACTGTATTGTTGATCTTACCCTTCCAAGCCTCAGACTTGGATCACTCCTACTATCTGCGGCCTTTGCTTCTACAGATGTGCTGCTGAATGAAGCTGGAGAAAACCATGAAGCTTAAAAAATACTCCAAGCTTCTTCCTGAAATGAAGGTCTATATTTTTTATGCCAGTAATTTTTTCAATGTCATTGTATGACTATCAGGCATTAAATACTATAGTCTCCAAATAATTAAAAGTGAATATTGCCCAAAAGGCAATGGAGAGGTTCATGATGGGTATGAGTAGGCTGTAGCACATTACAAACAAGGAATTATGAAGAGGATATGATTGAAGAAATGTGAATGAGAAAGAAAACAGGCCTGTCATGTGGTAAGCCCAAGGGATAGACACTGTGCAGTCTATGTACTCCATTGTTACCCTCACAATGTCAAGAGAAAATGAGGAAGGCTCCCAGCATGTTGGATGTACTCCCTGTGGCAAACTTATGGGAGGACATGGACAGAGGCACCCAGGATAGGCAGGCAGGGATGGGTTGGGATTTGCATTGCTAGGGAAAAATACCCACATTGATGAGGAAGTAGCTAGATGGCTCAGCAGATAGAGCCCTCAACTTGGAGGCAGAAAAACCCAAATTTCAATCCTAAGATATTATTCAACCTTGGGCAAGTCATTTCACTTCTATGGACCTCAGTTTCCTCATCTGTAAAATGAGAGGATTGGATCAGATAGCCTCTAAATTCCTTCCAACTCCAAATCTATGATCCAAGATCCCACCATGGTCTTATGGGAGGACAGTTCCATTGGAATATGGGATGGGTTGGGACCTGTACCATTGTAGAGTAACCCTAAGAGATCATGGACTCATTCAAATATTGGAAGTGTTAATGATCATGATGCTGATAATATCTGTGGTTATGCCCTATTTTAAGCAAACTAGATAGGTGAAAATGCAGCTTTATAAGAAAAAGCCAAACATGGTATGATTAATAAGTTTCCAAAGTCAATTTAAACCTGTTTGACTGTTTTAAAAATGATTTACATATGAATACATCCACTGAGTTCATTTGTACTTGCGTAGTCAATTGTTCAAGGAGTTTCTGCCATATGATCACATAGCTCAACAGAAACAGTTGAGGGGGGAAAAAATCACTATTGCCTCAAGATTATCAGTAACAATCTGGAAGGCTTATCTCAATTGCCCTAATTTCTTTTGTGCTTACTCTAAAAAATATCAATTCAAGATGGAGGCAATGTCAGATGGGAATGCGTTCCTACCCTTAGCCCACCTCCAATCTATCTCTGATTCTTTGTTCTCCCCAGCACTCTAAGCACTGGTAGCTCTTGGGAACCCTTATGTTCTGATTTTGGGGTGGGATGCTCTCCTGGGAAGTACAAGCTTTTCTCAGGGAATGTGGTCTCTTAAAGTGTAAATCCCCTAAACAAAACCCATTATGAAGTTCTTGTCTCTTGCCACAAACATATACCTAGGGCGTACAAAGAGTGCTAGGTTTAGAGTCAGATAACCTGGGTTTGAATCCCTGTTCTACGACTTACTATCTGTGTGACTTTGGGTAAGTCATTTCCCCTCTGTGGGCCTCAGTGTCGTCATCTGTAAAAGAAAGGGGTTGGACTGGATGGTTTCTGAAATCCTAGCTCCAGAGCTATGATCCCTTGTGTGACCTTGGGTAAGCCATTTCCCCTCCCTGGGCCTCAGTTTCCTCATGTATAAAAGAAGGAGGTTTAGCTAGATGGTTTTTGAAGTACCAGTTCCAACGTTAATGATCCTTTGTATGACCTTGGGCAAGTCCCTTCCCATCCCTGGGCCTCAGTTTCCTCTACTGTTGGAGTAGATGGCTTCTGAGATCTCTTCTGGATCTAAATCTATGATTACATTTTAAATATCTCCAAGGATGTTAATAGAGATCTAAGCTAGGCAACCATGTATATCTTGGTTGGTGGATAGGGAGATCTGACTGGTCTTCCAACCCTGAATGGTTGAAAAGATAAGAGCTTTATTATAAGATTACTCCTTTCAATGAAGGCACAAACACTTAATATGCTATGACGTTTATTATCTTATTTACATTAGTTTCCAAGAAAGTCAATACAAATCATGAACGTATTTACAGTACTTCAATCACAATATCAAGTTAGAATGTGATGATTTCATTCATATCAAATACATTGAACAAAATACGTTAGTTGGTGAAATTCTGCAAGCGTCAGTACTGGGGTTAAAAAACAAGCGAAACATTCTAAAGTAAAAGTTAAGCCACAGAGAATAAAAATAAAGTGCATTTTAAAGTCTCACTAGTTAGCTTTGGTGGATGAAGCAAACTTTATATTAAGGCACCTGGCGTCCTCTCCCTTCTCCCTCAAACTTCAAGAAAATCTATCTAACAAGCGTATAGCTACATTAAAGAATTTCGGTTTCAATGTCACAACTTCAACTCAGTGAAGTCAAATTGAATGTCACCACCTCCAAGAACCACTCTCTACATAAGCCATTTTGTAGACTCATTCTTGCAGACTAAAATGAATATACTGAACTGTCATACTCTCCTATACTCATATTTAAAATTTTGTGCCAATTTATATAGTGTGCTTTTAAAAAATCTCATAGGTCAAGTTTGGGATGGGTACACAGTTTGTGAATTGACATACTGTGGAACTGAATCAGATTTTTTTTTTCCTAAAGGGTTTTTTCTTTTAGTAAAATTTTGACTAGTAAATCATATGCCAGATTCTTCCAGATTCTGTTAGTGAGTTCATCTGTGTCTGATAATAGACATTTCGCTCGTGAATTTCTGATTAACCTGCTTTTGAGAACCAGAAATTACTAAACGGGGACTGAACTTGAATTTGAAAGTTGATCAATTTATGTGGCTATGCATTTAATGTGGCTTAAAGTAGGCGTTTCATTAAATAGTTATTTATCTAATGCTTGCATTGATTTTAAGATCAGATCAATAGAACCATTTGGAGAAAAAACTGATGTCTTTATAGTCTCCGACGGATTTTTTTTCTAATTAAAGCGAGGAGCTACCGTAAGCGATTTAATTTTTAGCTGCTCCATATTTAAACGTCAACTTTTTCTTAAGAAAATTGTTGCTAATGCAAAAACAATCCTTTGAAAAGCTCTCCTGAACGCTGAAAGTCTCCATCACAAACTGTTGAGAGGAATCTTACCTATGAAGTGTTAACATGAGCTGGTGGAAAATGAGATAGTTTAATAGGTTAAATATGATGAGCCATTGAAGCATGATCTATTAAATAATCTTAACATTTCCAGTATCCCTGCTGCTATGTTAAACCAGGTCATTAATAGCAAAATGTACTCTGGTTGGCAATTCTATCTTTAACCAAAGCTTCAAGTTTTCCACTGGTACACATTTCAGGACTTAATTGGATGAATGGGAGCCTCGAGAGTGGAAGGCTCATCTGCTTCAAATGCGGGGTTGTCAAGCTGGGGAAGGACATCCACTGCCACAGAACTTGCGTCGTGGTTCACTAGACGTAGGTGATCATCTTTGAAAAGAAATGGAAAGTTTAGGACCATATCATGGTTAGATGTAGCCAAGAATGACCCCAAAGTTTAATTATTTCCTTTTCCCAAATTCAACTCAAATGTCGAGCAAAGCATTGCGCACAGAACCAAAAAAGGAAGCAGGCCATGCCCTCAAAGACCTTACGTGGTACCTGGAGGCCATGCCCTCAAAGACCTTATGAGGTACCTGGACCTTACAAAGTACCTAGAGATCCATTGGACACTCACAGAGGCAAGTCAATAGAAGGTCATTTGAGGAGAGTTCCTTAACAACTGGGGGGGGTAGGGGTGTGGTAGGGATCTGGGAGGGCCTCGCGGAGGAAGAGGCACCTGAAGTAAGCCTTGAAGGATGCTAAAAGGTGTATCTGAGAAGGGAGTGGATTCAGGCCCCAGATAAAGCTTGTGGGAGAGCACGGAGATAGGAGTGGCATAACACGTTTGAGGAATAGCTAGTCTTTTAGTGGCATTCAGAGCACTTCATAACCTGGCCCCTTCCTACACTTTCCTCCCCTCTACAGACCCCATGATCCAGCTACATCAGCCTACTTGCTACTCCTCACACATGAAATTCCATCCCCTATCTCGGGGCATTTGCACTGATTGTCCCACACACCAGGAATGCTCTCCCTCCTCATCTTTGACTCCTAACTTCCCTGGCTTCCTTTAAAACTCAACTCAAATCCCACCTCCTATAGGAGGTCTTTCCTGGTCCCCCCAGTTGCTAGAGACTTCTCTCAGAAAATACCTTCCATTTCCACTGTACATAAGTCGTTATTCGCATCTTGTCTCCCCCATTAGAACGTGAGATCCTTGAGGGCAGAGACCATGTTTTTGCCTTTCTTTGTATCCCAAGTGCTTAGCGCAGTACCTGGCACATAGAAAATCTTGTTGATTGATTTAATCGATTGGAGACTACACCAAAGTGAATAAGAATAATAAGAAATAAGACTGGAAAGATAGGTGGGAATCAGACTTGGGGATGGCTTTAGATGCCAGGCCCAGTAGTTTGGATTTTATCTCAGAGGATAGGACTCTGGGCAGTCCTATGCCATACTCTATCAAGGCTTTTTCATCTTTTCCTTCTTTCTTGACCTAAGTTCAAACAGAAGATGCATTTCTAAGAAGCTTTACCTAATTAATCCTACCTTACTCTGATCATTCCCTTACTCACCAAATCCCAGTCTTAAGAGGTGGTAGTTTAAGGGGGAGCTCAAAGCCTTTGCCAGCCTGGGTGGCAGTAACTACATTTGAAGGGCTAAGAGGGTGGGGAGGCAGGTAGAACAGACCAAGATCTTGCCCCCTGGGCCTTAGGCTTGTCTCTTGGGCCCTTTTCCCCTCCAACTCATCTACATATTCAAATGGATCTGCAATCGCATCATTTAGGAGTTCCTTCCAGGGATGCAGATCACAACCCATCCATGCCTGCCCATCCTGAGAGACTCGGTCCAGGTTCTCCCAAAAGTTCTCCACAGGGGGGTCCACCCAACGTGCTGGAAGCCTTCCTCGCTTTCTCCTCACATCGTGAGGGTACCATGAAACATCTACATGGGAGACAATAAATAGATGATAACAAATAAATGCTTGTTGATTGATGGGGGGGGCTTGGAGTTAGAAAGCCGGGCAGCCAGGAACCCCAGAGCTGTATGTTAATTATTAGGTTAATAGCCCTTATGTGGATAAAGAGCAAAGATAGTGCCTAGCCTTCAGAGATGAAAATGATGAAATATACAAAATGCTGACCAGGAGCCACACCAAAGTCCCAGCATGGGAAAATTTAATCTGAAGATAGACTTGAGCCTGAGGGTAATAGCTACTTAGCTAGAAGTGTCTCATTCTTTGTTCTAAAGAGCTGGGTACCAGGGCTTGAGATCCCAAAAAGAAAAAAAAAAGGTAAGAAAGGTTTGGGTTTGTTTTTTTTTTTTCTTCCTCAGGACTTTTGCTGATCCAAGGCTCAGCTGGCTGCTTTCCTAAAAGAGGTCTAGATAGATCTATTTTATACCATATATATCATATATATTCATATTATATACATATATATGTATAGCCCCTTGCTTTGAATTAAGACAGCACAGCAAAGAGAACTCTTATAGTGAAAAATTTCAACTGAAGCTAGAAGCAAAAAAAGCAGCACAGCCACATGCTGGTGGAATCCAGGCAGAAGACTATTCACTAGAGGCTCCATATCCAGCAGAGACCAGGAAGAAGCAGGCCCAGGGGAAGCCCCTGGAAGATATCGCCAGCCCTGAAGCATGAGAGGTGTGCATTACCCTTCCGCCAGTGGTGAGCCTCTCCTTGAATGCGCCGCTCTTCTCACTGACAGTGTATGTATTTGTGGGAGGTGTGTTAGTGCTCTATTTCTTACTATGTCATTTCATGATGTGCCTTTGCGTTGGACTAGTTGTGTCCTCTGGCAGACTATTAGAGGTAAACACATGGGTGGGGGCTTGTGGAGATGAAGAACGTTGACCCTGGGGTAGCTGTTTGCTGAAAACCTGCACTGAGAGTAAGATGTTGCCCCAGGTGCAATACAAGGAAACTCAGAGGTCATCTAGTCTGACCTGTACTTAAAAAAAGAATCCTGTTTACAAAAGTATAGAAGAAAGAACACCAGATTTGAAGAAGACCTGAACTCAAATTCTGACTCTTCTATTTATTTATTTATTTCCATTTATTTATTCCACTTTATTTACTTATTAAGACAAGTGACTTCCTCTCCCTGGGCCTCAGTTTCCTCCTTTGCAAAATGAGGATGTTGGACTAGCTCCCTCTGGGGCCTCTTCCAGCTCCAGATTTAGGATCCTATGGAACTTGGGACTTCCCCATTCCACTTTTGGACGGTTCTAAATTGTTAGCAAATTTTTCTCTCCTCCTCCCTCCCTACCAACATAGGTCTCCTCTTTTCCAGGCTAAGTACCCTTACTTCCTCCAAGTCATCCATATGGCATCAAACTTTAGGCTCTTCACTATCCTGGTTGCCCCACTTTGGACACTCTCTACTTTCCCAATGACCTTCTCAAAATGGGATGGCTAGAATGGAATCCAATGTTCTAGATGTGGTCTGATCAGGCCATAGGGCAGTGGAACTATGAACTACCTCCTCTCATCCTGAATCAGGTCCCTCTTCCTGCATTCTATGATTGCATTTGGCCTGTTGACTCAGACCACTAAACCCCCAGATCTTTCTCAGAGGAATGGCTGTACAGTCATGCCTACCTCAACCTTGAATCAATCAACAAACATTTATTAAGGGTCTACTATGTGCTGGACACTGTGCTAAGCGCTGGAGATACACATCAAAAAAAAATGAAACAATCCCTGCCCCTTTTGGAGCTTCCATTCTAGAAGGGGAAACAACACACACATACACACACATATGTAAGTATAAACAGAATGAATATACGCAAAATAAATACAAGGGATTTAGGGGAGGGTGAGTAATAGCAGTTGGGAGGGATTGGGAAAGGCTTCAGGTAGAGAGTGGTGTATGAGCTGGGTCTTGAAAGCCTAGGAGGATTCTCCAAGGCAGCAGTGAGGAGGTCATGTATTCATTCCAAGCATGGCTAATGGTCATTGCAAAGGCATGGACATGGGAGACAGAATGCTCGGAGTGAGGAACAGAGAGAAGCTAATTTGGCTACATCACAGAGGGTGGAAAGGTGGAAAGACAGGTTGGGGCCAGGTTGCAAAGGGCTTTTTAAAAAACGAAATGGATGACTTCAGTATTTTATATTCCTGTCAACCGAGAGCCATGGGAATTTGCAGGGTAAGGGTGTGACATAGTCAGATTTGTGCTTAAGAAACGTCATTTTGCTAGCTGCATATTGTGCTCCTAAAGTTGTTTTGTTTTGTTTTTTTTTAATCCAAGTTTAAGAAATTTCATCTTATTCAATTTCCTGTCAAGATCTTTTTGGATTCTGACTTCAAGCTAACCTTTTATCTAAGTCATTGATAAAAACACTAAAGAGCTCAAGATTGAGCCCAGATTCCTGAGGCACTCCACTTAAGAGCTCAACTTCAAGTCCATATCACACCAGTGATGACTATTCTTTTGGGTCTAGCCATCCAACCTGTTCCAAATTCTTATCTATATCTCGTGGAAGCATACACTACCAAAGCCTCAGTTGGGTTATAAAATATTAAAAAAAATAGGATGACAGTGCCCTGTGACCTTGGACTCACCTCAAAGACCCAATTAGTCTTCCTTGAATATAAGACTTCCTCAATTTCTGGGGAGGATCTTAATTCCCTGAAACTAACCTTGTTAGTCCTGTGACCCCACTGAGGTTTATTCCAACTAAGAGAGGCATCAGTTTGTACATCTTTGATCAGATTGGAGGGGGAATCATTAGAGGGAGTGGTTAAAATAATTGGTGAAGGGACCAAAACCCTAGAATAAACTATGTACTTCTGTTACGGTATAATTTTGTATTTTCATTCATGACTACCCTAAAAGATAAGTGACCACTGCTTGGATCAGAGAGAATTCCAACTAGCAGGGGGAAATCTGCCAAACAGAGACCTCTCTCCAAGCAGACACACACATATATTGTCTCTGAGAGACACTGGACAGATACAGGGTAAAGAATTTTTCTTCTACCCTCTTTCCATTGTGTTCATGAAAACATAATGAGACACTTTGCTAAAATCTAGGTAAATTAAGTTGATAGCACGGGTTCCTAACTGGGTTCATGAACTTGTGATTTTTTAAAAAAACTATATTTTGATGACTGTATTTCCGTATAATTGGTTTTCTTTGCAAACCTCTATATTTTATCCTATGCATTTTCAAATTGATTCTAAAAAGGGGTCCATAGCTTTACCAGGCTGTTGAAGGGGTCTAGGACCCCAAAAATTAAGAAACCCCTGGTCCATTAGCATTCCACTGACTTTCCAGTCTTATAGTAGTAATCCTGTTAAAAAGGAAATATGGTTAGTCTTACTGTTCTGCATGAAGCCATCTTGACTCTCCGTGATCACAATTTCCTTTTCTAGGCATTCAAAAATCATTCCCTAAATAACATGTTCTAGAACTTTGTCAGTAACCAAAGTCAACCTCCCTGGACTCTTACCTTTCTTCTGGAGATTGAAGCATTTGTTTTCCAGCCCTATAGTACCTGTTTGGTTCTCCAATGCTCTTTCAAAGATCACTGAACCCACAATCTCAGACGATAGATCATGTCAACCAGTTCTTTCAGTACTTCGGAACGTGCTGGGTTCATACCCCAGCTGTGTCACCCGTGTGTCCTTGGACATGTCACTACACATCTCTTGGCTTTAGATTCCTCATCTCTGAATTGAGAGGGTTGGCCTAAATCAGGGCTTCTTAAACTGTTTCCACTCGCTACCGCTTCACCGCTTCTTAAACTTTGGGTCGCACCTAGGTCGGGTCACAACCCACAATTTAAGAAGCGCTGGCCTAGACGACCTCTAAGGTCCCTTCCAAGTCCAAATCAATAATCTGATGTCGTTTATCTGGGCCTTGTGACTTGAACTTATCAGTGGCAATTGGGTACTCTATCACTATCTGGGTTTTAACTCGGTATGCATCATCTTTTTCTGTCATGTCTAATCTGCATGTTCTTGGTAGAAAAAATAGAAGTAAAATCAGATTTGGGCAGTTTTACTTTCTCTCTGCCACCACTTTGCTATTATCTCCCCTGCTTAGCAGTGATCCTAACCCAGTAATGATTCTCCTTTTTTTTTTTTTCCAAGAGCTTTAAAGTCTCCTCACCATTCTCTTAGCATTTCTTGCCAGTGGAGCTCATTCTGAACTCGACTACTTCTGATACAGTTCTTACAGGCGCCAGGCTTTTGCATTCATCTTCTGTACCCACCCTTGCTTCCATATGTTGTATATGGCCTTCTCAAACTCCAAATTTGGCTAAGAAGTTCCCTGTGCATTCAGATTGGTCTCTTTAGGCAATTCCCTCTAGAACTAACTCCCAGTTGGAGTTGCTGCTCTCTATTTTCAGAATTGTATTCCTGAGAGTGACCCATCGCTTTCCGGGCTGCCTGGCAAAGTTGGAGGCCATGGGATCCTATCTAGCTCTCTTTGAAATCTGCTGTCCTCCAAACAGGGCATATCAGACTATGCCTCATTTCCCTCTTCTCTTCTCCTCTTCCATATCTCAGTAGTAATGCCTATGATTTATATATTGCCATATACTTTTTTTTGTTTTTTGTTATTATCTTATTTTGGGAATGCTTTTCCACCTAGACAGTAACCTCCCAAAATCAGAGGCTGTGCCATTTTTTTTTTCAGTATATTCTCACAAGAGGCCAAGTACTATGGCTCAGAGGAGAGCAAATACTTGTTGAATGACCATCCATGAGACCAATAGCATATGGAAACCAAATTCTACAAACTGAATGATCATGAAGGGCATAGTTTATATACAAAGCACCCAAACTGGAGATTCAGAACTACAAGTCATAGCAGTTGTTTACATCAGACCTGCACCAAACATTCACTCCCCGCCACTCCTCTCCTCTCTCTCTCTGCATCTCCTTCATGAAAATCTGGCCTTCTCTACAGGACACAGTCAAAATTAAATAACAATGATGAAGGTAGTGGTGTCAAAGCAATTCATTACCATAAGCTGTAAATAAATCTCAGTTAGAGCTTTAGTGAGAGGCAGCATGGTATAGTAGAGAGAGAGCCAACCTCAGAGCCCAGGGAACATGGGTTCAAGTGACTCTGGACAAGTCACTTAAGCACACAAGCCCTGGAAAAATCTCTAAGACCATAAACTGAAGAAAAGGTGCCAACCTGCATTGGTAAAAGGAGTTACCTCATCATACATTCGTACACCAATGAAATCACAGGTCCAGTCCCAGACAGTCCCACCCCATCCCACAGTTTCAGTGAAGAAGTATTTTTAAAAAAATATATTGATTAAATAGTATTTTGAGCTTATAAGATATCAGTCAATGGAATCGCCCAACCCTGCCCATTTTTGTTTCCCTGTCTTTGTTTTTATGCCTGCCATGCCCCCAAGTTGGGAAGTCAAACAATCATGGGAGGTATGCAATTTACTTTGGTGGGTAGAACCACTTGTTTTATTAGAATTCTCCAGAACAATCAGCAAAGCTTTCCTAGGGCTGGGACAGAGTCAGATGAAGTAGAAATGCTCTCTCTCCCATGGTAGTATTTCCAATGAAATGTTCCAAGAAAACATCAATGGATTCAAACCCAATTTCTATATGGCGCTTAGAAGAAGCCACCAATGGTCGTAAGGGTGCCAAAGATTTATATTAAGGGAAAGCTCATGGCTTGACAACTCTTGTTGTCCATTAATTATTTTGTCTTGGAATTCCAAGATATAATCCAGGTTAATTTGAATAATTCAAGGCTTTCAGTAAAGGCCTATACCATGCATTATTATGATGCAGAGGTGGGCCTGGCCTCTTGAAGGCTCTGCCAACAGAGCTCAAGCTCCAGCAGGTCTTCCTGAGCTGGATGGGCTTTTAGTACAGACCCAGTGAAGGGCCTTGTCGCTTAGTACAGACCCAGTGAAGGGCCTTGTTGCTTGAAGCCCAGCACATTAGAACATGCCATCCAGCCTCCCTCTTAGAATGTAAGATTTTGAGAGTAGGAACTGTTACATTCATTGTACTTACATCCCCAGCACCTAGTACAGTGCCTGGCACATAGCAGGTACTTAATAAATGCTTGGTGACTGATTGACCGATTGAGGGCATAGACTGGGCTGATTTCATCTTTGTATTCCCAGAATCAAACACAGTGCCTGGCATACAGGAGGCACTTAATAAATGCTTGTTGATTGATTGATTAATTGAGGGTATGGACTGTTTCTGATTTCATCTTTGTATTTCCAGCATCAAACACAGTGCCTGGCACATAATAGGTGCTTAATAAATGCTTGTAAATCAACATTGAAGTTTCTCTGTACAAGTTTCTCTTGCACATAGTTAATGACCTGTAAACCAACATTTAAACACATCGAAGGACAGGTCTTCTCATATAGAGGAACCTCATAATAATTCCTTTGGCATTTCAATGCAAGAGAAACAACATTTTACTTAAGAGTCAAGAGACCAGGGTTTGAGACTGCCACCGAGGAGCTGTCGGACCTAGAGCAAGTCACTTAGCTTCCCTGGGCCTCTATTGTCTCATCTCGAAAAAGGAGATAACAATCCTTGTCTCCACAGCTTTGTTAAGAAGGTCCAAATGAGGGAGAGAGTGCTGTAAAAGCCTAGTTTATCACCATGGAAATAAACCTAAGCTCTTGCTGTGATGGTGGAAATACTGATCTTTCAATTGTCTTCAATTAATTTCATAT